CTGAGAAACATGGAGGCCGGATATATGAGTCAGATAAGAGTTTTGCTCTCGAGTTCGTAGTCTAATGTGTGAGGGGAATTGGGGCAGAGATAAGGTGGGAGCACAGATGACATCAATATAAGGCCGGCCTGCTAAGGGCCGAGTCAGGTGTAGACATAGTATGTGAGTGTTACAGGAATTGGGATGAGAGAGATGACCTCATGCAGGAAGGCTGCACAGAAGTCAGAGAAAGCCTTAGGGAGAAGTGACAGTGATTGGCCTTGGAAATGGTAGGCTTTGTGTAGAAGGAGAGGACTGCAGAAGAGAGCGCTAGAGGAAGGTGATGGCTTGAGAAGGCAAAGGGAAAGCTGCTGCTCAAGCCCATAGATGGGAAGTTGGGAGGGACCTGAGGTTCTACCCTCACTCCTCACCCCCATTTGACAAAAGAGGAAACTGAGACCTAGAGGAGTGAATTTACTCAACCACGATCACACAGGCAATAAGAGAAGAGCTGAGACTTGAAAGCAGGTGCTCTGATTCCAAATCCATCATTCTTGCCATTACATCCTCATGCTGCCCCAGTCTGAGAAAGCACGTGGCACCCCCCAGGGCCTATGTCAGGCTGACGCTTATGCCAACTTTTGTCTCTGTGGGATGGACCCATGAACTCGATGCAGTACTCATCCTAATAAATCTTAACTGCAGAAAGAGCTCATAAGCTCATATAGCAAATCCTGTAGCCAGTGAGATGTAGGCAGGGGCCAGACTGTAGAGGGCCTTCAATGGCAAGCTAAGGAGTGACATGAAGAGTCACTTAAATCGTAACTATGTTTTAGGAAGATTAACGTTCGTGTGTGAAGGTGGATGGAGGGGAAGAAGCTGGAGGCAAACGGATCATCAGTAGGCTATTCTAATTGACAAGGGGAGACGGCATGAAGGCCTGGACTGTGTGGTGGGCGGCCCTGGGGACACAGAGAAAAGGACAGATGGGTATGTTGGTTGACTGGATTGAAAACAATCTGATTTCCTCAAACAACTGCACAGGCACTAACTCCCCCCTTTTCATAGGATTTGTACCTAATCGGCTTGATCTGAGGACAGAGGGGAAAGAATTCTCCATCTTTCACCAAGTCATCCATCTCTTTCAGATCTGTCCTCACCCTCTCTGCTCTGACTCCCAGGCACAAGGTGTTTCTTATCTATTTCCAATTAGAGGAACTTGCTGGCTTGGCTAACCTTGCCTCCAGCTGGGTTGGCAGCTCGGTGCCAGCCTGAGCTGATTCGGCCTTTCCTGGAGCTCCCTCTCCATGGGGCAGCTTCTTGGCTCGTTAGCTATGTTGCTCTGTAAAGCAAGCTTGCGCTGACCTCATACCCTGCTCTCCCATACACAGTGGAAACAGAGACGATGGCTTCACAACTTCTATCAGGGTCAAAGGGATGAGGTCTGGCATTGAAGAAGCCCGATTTCAATAACAGGGGCAGAATCTTTCCTGAGTTACCTATAGTCATCATTCCTGTATGTATCATTCATTCATTCAATAAACACTTGGGATCATAAGATTTTTAGAGTTAGAAGAGACCTCAGAGATTATAGGATTACATATAGATCTAGAGCCAGAAGGGACCTTACAGCTTATCTAATCCAACTCCCCCATTTTACAGATGAGGGCACTGAGTCCTACAAAACTGAGCCTGTGACTTACCCAAGGTCGTACAGGTAGGAAGTATCAAAGTTGGGATCTGAGCCATGTTCTTCAGACTTCAAGCCCAGTGCTGTGTCTTGCTTCCCACTTGAAGCCCCTGGATGGGCCACATTCTGGCATTGATTCCACTCCCAGGAGGGATCATACAAAGAGGCAGTTTCCTCCTTCCTTGTAAAATGAGGGGGTGGGGGTGGGCTAGATGTCTTCCAAGATCCCTTCCAGGTCTAGATCTCTGATCCCATGATCTTATAATTTAATGTCTGAAATAGGTTTTGCTCAGAGAATAGTATGGCATAGCAGATAGAATGCTGCATCTTTAATTAGGAAGACTTGTGTAAAAATCTTGCCTCTGACACTTTATAGCTACGTAGCCATTGGAAAATCACTTAGCCTTTCTAAGTCTTAGTTTTTATCACCTATAAAATGGGAATAGTAGCTCTGGTACTTACCTTTAAGGCTTGTTATGAAGCTCAAGTATGATAATGTATGTAAAATGCATTCTGAAATGTAAAGTACTATATAAACATCAGTTATTTTTATTTCAAGATTTCACTTGCTATCTGAGTTGCTTGCTTAGTTTCTTGGCCCATTGTCTTTCCTCGACCTGCCCCACCCCCATCATTTGTGTATTATTCATTCCTGCTTCTAGCTTACTGGTGGCTTTGCTTAGATCTGCTTGTTCAGAATCCCCAACTTTCCTGGTCCCTGATTCCTGCCCTGCAACAGTGATGCTCCTCTGCCTACAAGTCCGATTCAACTCGTAGGCTGCTTCTAGCTACGTTGGGTAGCACAAAGAAGAGAAATAAGATTGGACCACGTCAATGTCATTCCCTAAGGCTTCTTACATTCTGTAATGGAAAGAATGTGGGATTTGTAGTTGGAATCTATAAACTTGTATCCTGGTTCAAAGCACGGGGGGAGTGACTTCCCTCTTCTGAACCTCAGTTTTCTAAGCAGTAAAATAGGGAAAATCACACCTACCTTACAGGGATCTGTAAGGAAATCACATTGTAAACTTAAAATGAAATAAAAATGTGTTACTATAGTCAATAAGCCATTTCAAAAAGGTACCAATGTTTTCCAAAGAATGAAGAGGGGAAATAGTTCAAAAATGTTTCACAGGCAGTTCCTGAAGGCTGCCATCTAGTCAACAACACAGTGTCATTGGGTGGGGCTCTAGAAAGAACCAGACCCCAAAGTGGTAGGTGAAATATCTTCCTTTGGGTCCCACAGGGAGCATTCTTCTGTCTGTGAGACATAGGAACTCAGTAGGAGGAAGCCAACAAAGGGCACTGAGAGAGATAATGGTATATGCTAGAGGCAAAGGGAATTAAAAGTGAGTCTAGCCAGTGCAGGGGACAGGGAGGAGACTGGCTCGATGAGGGCACCTGCTAAGATTCAAGAGTGCTTCTCTTCACAGCTTCTTAGCTATGAAGGGCTGCAATGGGCCTAAAAGGTTATATAGTCCAAACCTCTCATTTTACAGATGAGGAAATTGAGGCCAGGGAGATTAATTTACCTGTCTGAGGTCATAGCACTGAAGCCACAGAGCCAGGACCCTCGTGCCTTCTGTCCCTCCATGCTTTCTTTCCAAGCTCCTTAGCTCCTAAGGGTTGTAAAACCCTATCTATCTTTGCAGCTACCTCAGTAGCCCTTTCTCTGGCCTCTGCCCTTCCTTATAAATGTTTGAGTCAACTGTTACCAGCACTGCTAGTTCCCAGACCCAGACTCCATCTTTCTTCAAACATTTCACACTCCTCTTGCTGACTGCTAAGGAGTCTCAGGTAAATGAGGACTCCATGAAATCTTCGGGGTTGTTTTGCCTAGCAATCATCCTGTAGGATCATGGAGGCATAGGAAGACTTACAGGAACTGAGGCAAAGGGAAGTAAACAGAACAAGGAAAACAACATATACAATGACTCCAGTGTAGATGGAGAGACAATAACAAACAATTGAAATGGAATGCTGTGAAATGATAATGATCAAACTTGGCCCCAAAGAAGAGCTGTGAGAAGACACCTATGTCCTTTCTGTACAGGGGGCAGGACTATGGGTATAGAACATCAGACTTGGTTGGTATGGCAGTTAGTTTTGTATAAGGGATGGATCTCTGGAGAGGGGGCAGAGAAGCACATACTGGGAAATACGTATGATAGAAAACCAAAATATATCAACAGTTTTTAAAGTTGGAAAAAAATCTGTTTCAGAAAAATTGTTCCTGACTAAAACAACATTTAATTTCTGACTTAAGCTTACTCCAGCCATTCATTTATACATTCATTCGAGAGACTATTAATTCTCCATGTGATGTCATGAATATGACATAACTTTTCTTGATCTTTTTTTCCTACTTTGTAAAATGAGGAAAATGCATTCTCTAAAGTACTTTCCATCTCTGAGATTGTGTCCCATGATTCTAAGCTCCCTTCAAGTTTTAGCCTTCTTAATTCCATGTTCAAATGTCCTGAGTGCTGACATTCTATGAGCTATGATTCTAAGGCCCTATGCAGCTCTAGTGCTTTATTTTCTGTCTTGAAGGCTTCATGCAGTTCTAATATTCTATGTTTGATAATTTTTTTCTTTTTCCCCTTTTAAATAGCATTTTATTTTTTCCAATTACATGTAAAGACAATTTTTAACATTCATTTTTTTAAATAAAATTTTGAGTTTCAAATTTTTTTCCTTCCTTCCTTCACTTCCCTTCTCCCTAAGATGGCAAACAAGTTGATATAGACTATATGTATATAATCATGTAAATATTATGGTCTTCTTGCATCTCTGACATTCTCTGCTCTATGATTCTAAGTCCCCTTGCAGCTCTAACATTCTATGGTTTTGTGACATGGAGTAAAGGGAGGGTCTGTCAGTAAAGGTTCTTAAAGACCAGGCTAAGAAATCTTCATTGGAGATCAAAGGTACAGAGAGCTGCCATGAGAGGCCTCCTGTTCCTATATTAACTTTGAATGATTTAGCCACAAGCATACCACCTGAAGCAATCTCTGGATTTCTAAATACCAAGTTTTATTCAGTCCACTTTGATGGCCTAAACAAAACAAAACAAAACAAAACAAAAAAAGGAGATATTTACTCCCAGGGCTTCCCACACAGGGTCTTTCTTGGCCAGGCTTACAAAGAGACTCAGTGGCAGAGATCTATCTAATAAGGTCTAATAGGGTAGTACTGTCTAGTCGTGTAGAAGGGTTAACAATGGTGACACATCCAAGGTAGGGTGGGCCATCTTAATGCTCATCCTTACCCAGCCATCTGCAGACCACAAGCAGAAAATCATTCATGCAGAGCCAGGTTGAGAACTTACCATTCGGTATAACTTGTCTTCCAGCTCCTGGTTAATCCTCTGTAAGGCTAAGTAGTTGTTTTGTATTCTGAAAGAAAAGATAATATTATGTCATTGGGATCACTGACCCTTCCCCAGGATCTTGAGGACAGGGTGAGGAAGCAAGTTACAGATCACTGCTAAAATGACGAAGTCACACACATGGCTTATCCCTCATGATGTTCTCTTCCAGGAAGGCTTTCAAGATTATGCCCATCTCACCCTGCTCAACCTTTTACCCCAAAGGCTCTCAATCACTCATTCAACAAATTCTCCATTTCAACAAACATGAGATGTTCAGCATGGTGCAAGGCACCAAGAAAGGAAGAGGAAATACAAGATTATAAAACAGCATTTGAGATCCATCTGTACTGTACATACACCTCAAGAACACAGTCGAACCTTTTCCACTGTGAATTCATGTGCCTGTTACACACAACATGGTTTAATGGCCAGAGAGATGAACCTGGAGACATGGGTTGGAATCTGGGCTCCAACCCTAGCTAGCTGTGTGATATGGGGCAAGTCATATTATCTCTCTGAAGTTTTCTTGAATTTCCAGCAAATAGGGAAAATTATGCTTGTACTACTTACCTCACATGGTTATCACCACGTATATACTTTATAAACTCAGAGGCAGCTAAGTGGTCCAGTGGTTAGAGCGCTGGACTTGAGTCAAGAAGACACAAGTTCAGATCTGGCCTTAGACATTTACTAGCTGGGTGATTCTGGGCAAATAATTTAAATTCAGTCTGCCCCAGTTTCTTCATCTATAAAATGGGGGTAATAATAGCACCCACCTTACAAGATTGTTGTGAACTAATATCTATGTAAAGTGCTTAGCACAGTTTTTGGCACACAGTAGGCACTTCATAAATGTTTCTTTCCCCCTTAAAAGTGCCATAGAAGTGGGAGCTATAATTATTGTTGCTGCTTTTGTACTTTTATTCCTGCCAAACTAGAGTCACAGAATCTTAGTGGTGGAAAGGACTTCAGAGATCATCTAATCCAATTGCCTTCCTAAACAATCAATCAGTCTATCAACAATTTGGTACCTACTGTGTGCAGAACATTATGCAGTGCTGGGGTTGGGGGAGGAGATTTAGATAAAACCCAGATACTTGATTTCATGGGCTCACAGTATAGTTATTCCTAACCAATATGACACCAGGCATTTTCTCTATCTCCCATGCCTGGAATGTTTTCCCTCTTCATCTCTGTCTACCGGCTCCTGTTAACTCGCAGCTAAAATCCCATTTTCTATAGGAAGTCTTCCTCAACCTCTCTTGCCTCCCATCTCTTAATTTTTTTCCTATTGATCCTGAACACAGCTTGTTTGTACATGTTTGTTCGCTTGTTGCCTCCCCCATTAGATTGTGAGCTCCTTGGGGGAAGAGACTGGCTTTTGCCTCTTTTTGTATCACTATCACTTAGCACAGTGCTTGGCACATAGAAAGCACTTAACAAATGGTTACTAACTTTCTACAGCAGCCCTGACAGATAACAATTCACCTTTGTGGTCTGGATTCTTAGGACAGCACTCTGCTCCAAAGCTCTTCTCTCTAGAGTTAGCAACAATCTGCAGCGTCTAATTGTCTAATTGTCTCAATTCTCATATGCCATAATTTAGCTACTGCTCTTCCTGCATACCCTCTCCTGCCTTGGTTTTCATCACAATGATCTCTCCTGGTTCTCTTCTTATCTGTCTGTTCCTTCTCAGTATTTCTTTGCTGATCATTATCCAACTCTTACTCCCTAAGTGTGGGTCTCCCCAAGGGCTGTTTTATACCTTCTCTTCACTCTCTATACTCTTTCCCTAGAGGATCTCATGTTCTCAAGGGTTCAGATATCATCTCTATGCTGATGCCTTCCAAAGCTACATATTGGACTCAAATCTCCCTCTTGAACATCCCTTTCTTAAAGTTTGCCAACCCCCTGTTGGACATCTCCACCTTGATGAATAAGGAACCTCAAACTCAGCATTTCCAAAACTATACTCATCTTTCCCTGTATACTTACCCTTTTCAACACCCCATTTTCTGTTGAAGGTATCCCTGTTACAAACTTGAAATTAACCATGATACTTCCCTTTCTCTTACTCTTTGTTTTTTTTTTTTTGGCTAGGCAATGGGGTTAAGTGACTTGCCCAGGGTTATACAGCTAGTAAGTGTTATGTGTCTGAGGCTGGATTTGAACTCAGGTCCTCCTGAATCTAGGGCCGGTGCTCTATTCACTGTGCCACCTAGCTGCCCCTCTCTTACTCTTTGATCCAAATCAGCTGCCAAGTTGTCCATCCCACATCCACATCTTACATACACCCCCTTCTTTCCACTTACATAACCATTCTTCTAATTCAGAACCCCATAACCTTTCAACTGGACCACTGTAATTGCCTCTTAGGTGTCTTCCTTGATCCCAGTCTCTCCTCCCCACACAGCTGCCAAAACAATCTTCAAAGATACTTGTCTGACTCAGTCCCCTACTGACAAATTTAGGATAAAGCACAAACTTCTCAGTCTGGCATTTAAAGCCCCCCACCATATGATGTCACCTTACTATTTCCAAACATATTCTACACTCCAGGGAAGATGGATTGCTTGCCATTCTCCAAACTTGGTATTCTATTGCACAGCTCCGTGACATGACTTCACACAGGCTGCCCCTCTCTCCTTGCCTGGAATATACTCTCTCGTGTAAATTTCTCAGAATCCTTATCTTTATTCACGGCTCAGCTCAGGTGCCATCTCCTATGTAAGGCTGATCCCAGCTACCCCAGTTCTGTGTTCTCTCCTTCCTCTTACCTTGATCTTACTTATTTGTATACATGTCATATCATCCACCCAAGACCCAGGAGGATATAAGCTCCCTGAGAACAGGAACTGTTCTTGGTGTTTGCCTTGTATAGCCGGTACTCAATCTTATTGAGTTGAATTGCATTTTCTGAATTTTTCCAGTGATGGCAGGTTCATTACCTACAGTGGCCACTCATTCCACTCTTGGACAGCTCTGTTAGGAAGTCCTTCCCTTTAATCAACCATAACTGATGTCCTTGTAACACCTCCCTAGTGGTCCTATTTCTGTCTATTGCCTACCAATGCAGTTAACTCATTTACAGAAAAACAGTTGAAAGTTAGCAAGGTGGGAAGAAATTTCTGAGAATCCCTGATCAGCCGTTACAAAGCCCATAAATGAAAGCTCATGAACTTCACTCACAGAAGCTTCTTTGTTGCACTCAGAGCCTATTCATTCCTTTTGGACACATATTTCTAACAAGCTTGGTTACATAGTTTTCCAGCCCATAGAAATTTAGAAGTAGCAAGTTATGAGGAGGAAGGGGACTGCTAAAAGTAGTTACGTTGAGGGTAGCTCCTCACTTCTCAAATGCATCTTGCTCTTCTCAATCCCTTTCCTTTGATGTATAGCAGTGATAAAACACTATTTTCTTCCCTAAGGTATTCTTTGGACTGAACACTAAAGAAGGTTAAGTTACACCTGCCCTATTTAAGAAGTCAGGGAAATGTGTGATACAGTTCATAGATACTGTCATCTACATCAGTAACATTTAAAAATTTTGGTGCCTAAAGGTCTAAACCCAGGGTTCTTAACCTGAGGCCCACAAACTTGTTTTTAAAAATATGCTGATAACTGTATTTCAGTATAATTGCCTTTATTTGTAATCTTATGTGTTTTAATGCATTTTAAAACATTATTCTGAGGTGTCCTTAGACTTCACCAGACTGCCAAGAGTGTCAATGATACAAAAAAGGTTAAAATCCTCTGATTTAATTTCTCCATTATTGGAAATGCCATTCCTTGAAGGTTCTTGGTTATATGTGTGTTGAGGAGGGGACAGGGGTTCAATATACTGTACTCTGCACACAGGACGCATTAAATCAAGTTTGCCAATTTCCTTAGTGCCCAGTAATGTTTTTTTTTTTTTTCCTCACAGACACAAATAACAATACTTTTTGAAAAGCATTGTCTCAGAAGTTTGTTTTTGCTTTCTGGTGGAATTCAGAACACCAGACAATTTTGCCTCACTGATGAAAACATCTGTCTCCCTCCAAGTAGTATATGTGCTGAACTGTAATTCCTGAAAACCAGTTACCAATGATGACAACTCCCATTTCTAAAGGAAATTTAAGGGGCAAGTGCTTTCCTCACCCACACCCCTGGGAGCTAAGTGGCAATTATGTTATGATTCGTCTCCTGTGGGGATGTCTTTCACCAGCTCAATTCAAAATTCCTCTCTAAGAGTTGGGGTGGCCAAAAAGTTCATCTCATTTGGCCAAATGGGTGAGGAACACCTATGGACTTAGGTCGGTCTTAGGACAAGACAACAGTTGGTCAATACACATTTGCTAAGCATCTGCTGTCTGCCAGACACTGTGCTAAGTGCTGAGGATGCAAAGAAAGGCAAGAGACAGTGGGGGATAGCATGCAAACAACCATGTTCAAACAAGATCTAGACAGAATCGTTGTTGTTTGTCCTTTATTCTCAAAGAGGACCATGACATCAGGAAGATGATGCCGTGGCTTGCAAGTGAATTGGATTTAATTGAGGAGGGCTGTGCAAAGATATCAATCTCAGTTTCTCCTCCAGAGCCATCTGGGTCCAGGGACAAGATATAAATCAGGATGAGTGGAGATGGCCCCCTCTAGACAAGATAAATTGGAGATAATCAATAGAGGAAAGGCACTAGCATTAAGGCGATCAGGAAAGGTTTCTTGTAGCAGGTGGAGGTTATAGCTGGGACTTGAAGGAGGCCAGAAAAACCTGGGAGGCAGAGATGAGGAGAGACCTTGTTCCAGATATGGGGAATAGAGAGTGAAAATGGCAGGAGTGTGGAGATACATGTATTGTGTGAAGAATAGCAAGGGGACAGTGTCACTGGACTGCAAAGTACTGGGGGTAAGGAGAGTAAGGGGTAAGAAAACTGGACAGATGGAAGGAGGCCAGGTCATGAAGGGCTTTGACTGTCATAGGATTTTATATTTGATCCTAGAGGTGACATTGTCTGTCACAGGGACAACATTTAAAGCTACAGT